GAGCAGAGCTATTGGGCAAGGAAGTCTCAAGATTTCAAAGCTCACCCACACCTGAAAACTGGAATAATTCCACCCACCATACTATTTCAAAAATTCCTTGTATTCATGCTGCTCACGACTCAGAACTTAAAGACTATTTTTATGCAGCTTCACCTTTACTTTACACAATAGTATCTTTAGTAGATATCATGGCTTTTTTCTTCTACACATACTATGTGCATATATATGTAGAAAACTTCAGAATACCATGATGAAACATTCAAAAATGTACCAAATACTACGATTTTTGGTTTGGTTTGGTTTGGTTTGGTTTGGTTAGTTCATAAGTACATAAAACTTGAAAACTGGAGAGAGAATCCCTATAGATACTTCCGGTTAAACTGTCTGTAACTCTAAAGATAAGCTACAAAGTCAGTTTTGTAGGTAACCGCGCTTTCAGTTATGCAGAAACTTGACATACATATTTTTCTAACAAAGACCTCCACGTGCTATATGAACATTTTTACTTCAGTGCAATATCTCTTCCACAATATTTACTGATACTCTTCTTCTTCATTTCCCTTTGCTGCAGGTCATCTTCTGATTCCCGAATAACACCGATGGAGAACAGGACAGAGGTGACCGAGTTCCTCCTGCTGGGACTGACCGATGACCCGCACCTGCGGCTTCCCCTCTTCATCACCTTCCTCCTCATCTACACCCTCACTGTGGCTGGGAACCTGGGGATGCTCCTGCTGATCCTCCTGGACCCTCGTCTGCACACCCCCATGTACTATTTCCTGGGTAACCTGTCCCTGGTGGACTTTGGATACTCCTCAGCTGTCACTCCTACAGTCATGGCCGGGTTGCTTACAGGACACCAGGTCATTTCCTACAGTGCCTGTGCTACTCAGATGTTCTTTTTTGTAGCCTTTGCTACTGTGGAGTGTTTCCTGTTGGGCTCAATGGCCTATGATCGCTATGCAGCAGTGTGTAAACCCCTGCACTACACAACCACCATGACCACAAGTGTGTGTTCTTGTCTTGTCACAGTCAGCTATACCTGTGGCTTCCTGAATGCCTCCATCCACGGTGGGGACACATTCAGGCTCTCCATGTGTAACAACAATGTGGTCCATCACTTTTTCTGTGATATTCCAGCAGTTATGGTTCTCTCCTGCTCTGATAGACATGTCAGTGAGTTAGTTCTTGTCTACATTGTAGGTTTTAATGTCTTTTTTACTCTGCTTGTTATCTTGATATCCTACATCTTCATTTTTGGCACCATCCTAACAATGCGCTCAGGTGCTGGATATCACAAGGCTCTGTCCACCTGTGCCTCCCACTTCACTGCCGTCTGCATCTTCTATGGGACAATCATGTTCATGTACCTGCAGCCCAGCTCCAGTCACTCCATGGACACTGATAAAATCGCCTCTGTGTTCTACACCATGGTGATCCCCATGCTGAACCCACTGGTCTACAGCCTGAGGAACAAGGAGGTCAAGAGTGCTTTCACGAAAATTATTTTGGGGAAATATGATCATTAAGACTGATTTTACTGTTGATTTTACTGTTGTACGGTGACAATATGTAGTTTCAGATATCTCTAACATTCATGAGCCAATTTTTATTTTAAGACCCACATTGAATTCCAGTGCCTGTAGTGAGGCTTAATCTGGAAGACAGTTTTATCTAAAAAAATAAAAAATAAAAAGCACGGCAACAGATTTAGCTCAGTGCCGCAGCCTGCTTCGCAAGTAGAAGATCCTGACTTAAATCCCTGGTGCCAGAAAGAAAACAAAAGAGAAAAGAAAAGAAAATATTATGTGCTAATATGACATTTTTATTCAAATAAAGTATCTAAGGATATAAGTAAGTTAATAAGTCATATTACATCTATCTTTAAAATGAATCACTGCTTTGAAAAATGGGACCGCAGGGAAACCCAATAAAAATGTAGAGTTCAGAAGTCTCCTAAGGTCACATGCTAGTGGGGCAGGAGGATTTGCCAATTAGTTGTAGGATGGATATTTGTGACCAGTTATTTTATATATCAGTCTGCCTGAGTCTAGGGCAAACCCAATTACCTGTTAGTATATTCATGTGTGTTCCTATTAGGGTATTTATAAAGGTCTAAATGTGTTAATCCTGAAATGAAGAGAAAACTCTGCACTCCACAGGGTGGGTGGCCATCATCCAACCGCTGAGGTTTCCTGGAATAGAACACACAGGTGCACAATGGCAGATCCCACGACTCCCTCTTCTTTAACTGGAAGTTCCATCTCCTCTCCCTCTGCGACTCAGAGCTCCCGCTTTGTAGGCCCCAGTGTCCAGACTCTGGCCAGACTTCCAGCTCACCCTGCCCAGTTGTAGGCTCTTAGCTCATACTGAGCTGCACCCCAGCCTTTCCAGTTCTGAAACTGGCAAGGAGCTTCAATCCCTTCGTGGAGTCAGCCCAGGAAATAGGCTACATGGGCTGTGAACAAGGCTGTAGGGATGGAGCTTCCCAGGTCCTGTAAACTCATCTTACCACGTACACAGGCTGTCTGATGGAACTACACTACTTAAGGTTTGCCCTTTGTATTTTGGTCTGGCTTTGGTGTGATTCATGTCGGTCCCCCTATTACTGTGGGGGGGCACATGTGTGTGCATGTGCGTGTTGTAGGATTTTTTATGCTGTGGCATTGTAGGATATGTAAATTGCTTCTGATTTTTATACAGATGTATAGCTAAGGGTTTGCCCTGAGTCTCAGAAGAGACATGAACTTAGACTTTTGAAAAGTGATAAAACTGTTGAGATCTCAAGAAAGCATTCTTCATTTTTTGGTTGTACACAAGGTAGTTTTATCATCTTAGATGGAATTCTGACCTCCATTTATTGGGGGAGTCAGGATGCTTTAAGGAGATGTGTTCTGAGTATCCAGGTGTCGAGGGTGGGATGTGGCCATTAAGATGGAGGATAAAATTAATTGACTTTGGGGCCACCTCAGGGGTGGGAGGAGCAGGCTCTGCCCTAGCTGACTGGGTCATGGGGGGAGGCTTTGGGTCCACATCTGTCCTTCACCCCTAACTTTCTGGCACTGTTCCCCTCCTATGCACACTTGCCACCATGAACCAAATAGCTCTGCTGTGCCACTCCCTCCTCCAGGGTATTTCTGCCCTGAGGCTGCCAACCATGCTGACTCTCCTGGATCCATGACCTAAACTCAACTTTTTCTCCTTGTGCTCTGGATGTTGGATTTGTGTTTCAGGGACAGGAAGGCTACAATATCCTCTGTGTCTCTATTGTTAAGAAAATATCAAGGGCTTGGGTGTTTGTGTTTATTTCCAAAATCAGGAAGTATTAGTCTTATTCTGTTCATTCTCAACACGTCTGGGCCTCTCAGGTCCTCTGCCTTCGCATACGCATTGCAGCACTGGCTCTCTGTTTTATGGAACAGGCCTTTCGAATTTTGACGCCAGCTCTGTGACAGAGTAAAAAGCGTTTCCCGTGCACATATTCTCCAACGCAGGCTGACGAAAACTTCAGCTGCAGCTGCACCTGCAGAGCCATGCGGTCTCCTCAGACTCTGAGACAGGAGAGAGACAACCGGAGGGTCACGGGTGTGCTTCCACCCACACAGAAACACTCCCGTCAGTTCTTGCTGAAGTGCCCTGTCTGCAGCTCGTACACGGCTCACCTGCAACTGAGCAAGCCACGTAGAGAAATACAGGCTTGAATGCCAACATCTTCTGTGCTCTGTGTTACCCATATGGGATTAATTTCTAAAAATAAAACATGAATGCTTAACTGTATGGCGTGTAGATACTACAAATGTCCTGTGGTTTGTATATAGCATCTGACAGTAGTCTTAGCCACTATTGGAAGATGAGATCATATTATCTACCTTTTCTGTGTTCATCAGCCATCCCTCTGCCAGCATGAAATACCTGAACCCAGAAACTTAGAGGAAACTTTAATTTTGGCTCACAGTTTCAGAGGTCTCCACGCATGACTGGATGACTGCACACTCTAACTAGCATGTAGAAGGGCCTGCTAGAGGGAAGATTCTCAATTCCTGCTGGGAAACAGGAGAAAGACAAGGGACAGGGACAGACTCAGACCAGGAAACATGACCTCCAATGTCTAGGAATGCACATCCTCCAAGTGGGCCCCACCTCCCAACAGCCCACGAGGCTGTGAACTCCCTGACTTACTACAGAGTTCAGCACCCTCATGTTCGAAGCATCTTCCGAAGGCCCCACCTCTAAGCACGCGAGACACTGGGGCACATCTGACATCTGAACCATAAAATGTTCCTTTCTGATAAAGCTGAAATTGGGAAAGGTAAAGTTGTGAAGCTCCACTGTCTTAGTCATGTAACGGTCTTATAACCATGCTCACAGTTGTGTCGCAAGCCTTCCAAGAACGGAGAGCACAGAGGGACTGTGCAGAGGACAGAATGGACCCATTGCCTTCCAGGAGAAAAGCTATTCCGGGGTCTGAAATGACACGGTATGACTGTGGGGGGTCTTTTTAAACTTTCTTGGGGGGGAACAGGGTCTCACTATGTAGTTGAGTCTGATCTGGACCTCACTATATACTCAAGGCTGGTCTCAAGCTCACAGCGATCCTCCTGCCTCAGCCTGCTGAGTGCTGGGATTACAGGCATCTGCCACCACACCTGGCTTTTTAAAACATTTTTGAAGAGGTATTTTTATGAAATAGAAAAAAATCTATTACACAGAGGGTGACAGTCATGAACAGTATTGTGGTATATACATCAAAAGAGAAGAAAGAATTTTCAATGTAATATTTGAGTCACAAGTAGCAAACATTTGGGTTAGTGGATAAAGTGCCCTGAGTTTGGCAGGTATGTGTGTACTGAAGAGTCACACAGTGCTTCATATGGTATTCAATTATTGTCTGCCAGTAAAATAAAATTATTACATAAATAACAACAAAAGAGTACAAAAAGTGGTTTCAGAAAAGACAAAGCATCTTTGGGAAACAGTAAAACTGAGAGTGAAAAAAATTATATAATCTTAAAACTACAATTAAATAGGCATAAACTGTACTTGGGAATGGAAAATGATAAAGCCACCTCCACGAACATTTGGAGGCTCTTATTCAATGAAGTATGCACCACACGACCAAGCAACCCCATTACTGCATATTTACTCAAATGAAACACAAATCGATATTCACATCAAAATGTTAGCCAATTTTTAGATCAACTTTATTTATAATCACTGAGCACAAGATCAAGAAATGTTTCCCTGAACTAAGAATGAGAAAAATAATGTATGAAGTTCATTTTCAATATTAATCACCGTAATAAAATATTTCCCTACAAATATATGTATCAAAATGTGCCCAACTGCGTTCGTGCTGAGCAAAGGATGCTACTATCAGAGTCCACTTCTCGGATTTGAAGGAAGGACATTTTGCCAAAGGCAAAATTATATAGCAAAATGGTTTATTAGTTCCCTCAAAACTGGGTACAAGAGAAGTTGACAACACAAAGATCAGCAAATTGAATAATGGTTGCATGACTTCACATTTAACAAACATTGTTAGAACTCTAATATATTGTGCATAACGCTCTGTGGGATTATACATTAATGAGTAATTTACAAAGCACACGTAAATACTGAGAATATCCAAGTTATTCCCCACAGGCAGTTTGCTTCTTCCCTGGGAAAGAGGGAAGGGAGCTGCAGGTGCTGTCCCGGGAAGTCCCCAGAGCCCGTGTCTGTATAATTTACTCCCGCTTCCTCTGCACTGGCTTCTGATATCACCCACGACTCTGGGCTGCTTCCCTTCACAGGGCGCAGACCGCAGTCCTCCCCCTTGAACACCCTTCCTTCATCTGAACGGAGAAAGCTGCTCAGGCAAACGGGCTTTCTCCCAATTTCATGATTTTCTAAGAGCCTGCGACATAGTTAAGGGCAGACCTCAAAAATTAGATCACGTGATTTGAAAACGATGCTCACTACTTATAAACACAGTTCTGTGAATCGGTGAAAGAGGTAATTTTATTGGTTTCATTTTACAGTTTAGGAGGAGGTAAGTGACTCTTCTAAGGATCTAAAAAACATGCGTGGTAGATTCTGGACTTGAATCCGTATTAATACCCCTTGTTCCATGGGTTCCTTCCCACCTCAGATACCCAGGAAACATTGACCTGAGGGTGAGCTTTTCAGCTACAAGTGCGGCATTAATCTGTTGTTGAACTTCTGATTTCAACTTCAATGTTGAGAGTGATGCATGTATTCAAGAGCTAAGTGAGCTACTATAATCAAAATGCATTCTTAGGAAAACGGTATCTCGTGTAGGAGCCATGGAACAGCTATAACTACTGTTATTTACTGAGCACAGAAATCTGTTTTAATTTCTTTCCTTAGAAAGAGGTGATTAGGAGATTAAAGAGCCAAAATCCCATTGGTGGACAGGCAATACTTTATTAAGGTACAGCATGTTGCTCCTCTAAATAAGAGTCAAAAACAACAGGATAGGTGATGGATGACTGGTGTTGGAAATTTCCTGTACTTCCCTAGATGGTAT